GGGGTGGGTTAGATTATTAAAGGTTTAAGATATTGAAAAGTGAGTACTTTGCATATACACTTGAAGGGATCAGATAAAATGTCCATTATCCATTTCTTCATCAGGTTCCTTTGGGATCATGTACTTTGTATTTGGTATGGGAGATGTCACCATTTAGGGCGGGTCACAGGAAAATAATTGTGTACTTAGCTGCTGTTTAGAAATGATTAAAGCATATTTGTCGTTGCAGGATGTCATGTTGAACAAATACTTATCAGACAAGAGATAAAAGTCCATTGTTAAAATCTGATTTTTTCCACGAGTTGGGGAAAGCACAGGCATGACCAATCTCCTTTTAAGAAGAAAGTGAGGCAGTATTGTAGCTTGCTGTCTTGGCAGGTGGATTTCTGGAAAGAAATGGCTATCTTAAGGAAGTTATGTTCTTTTTAAGTTCTTTTTAAACAATAAGTAATGCTAATTGTGCTCAGAGCAAAATAGAAAAGTCACATTCATCTAATCTCTCCATCTAGAATAACTGTTAATAATATTCTAGTGTATCTCCTGCCTTGTAAACATTTTGTAGCCACATTACATGATCACAGCTTTTTTCATGTAGTAAAAAACTTAGCAAAATAACATATTTGGGGATTTGTGGACATAACACAATTTACTTATCAATGTCTTACATCTAGGCTGTTTACTTATATGGTCCCTTCGTTTCAGTAAATGGCAATAGCTAAGTTTAGTTGTTGAGCTTATCTGGGTCTAGCTTTGATAAGTAAACTAGGAAGTAACTGCCTCAGTTCCTCTGATGTAGCCTGCTTTGTTTCCTCATACTAAGTATCATTTTCATTAGAATTATGTAGCCCTTAATGCTTTCTTACTCCCAGGCAGGAAAGATCCTTATCTAGTTTCCTAAGGCTAGTTTCACAAATGACCTTAAAGTAGATCAGTGTTCCCCAGAGTGGTTGATAGTGTCCCCCTGGGGGCACTGGAACAATTGGAGCAGGGGTAGCAGGAGCATATACCTACACTATATCCTGGATTGTGGGCTACAATATAAAAATTCTTAGTTGCCAGGAGGGTGCTGGGTAATATTTTTTTCTGAAAAGGGGGCTGTATGTCGGCTAAATAAGTTTGAGAGCTACGAACTTCCTGGGTGGTGCAAATTGTTAAATGCTCACTACTGGCCCACCCAGAGGTGCGTTGGAAGACAGGCCTGATGATTTGCTTTCAAAAGGCTACAGCCCTGAAAATCCTATGGAGCAGTTCTACTCTGCACACTTTGGAGCACCGGGAGTTAAAATCGGCTTCGTGGCAACCAACAACAGGTGGATTAAAACGACTGATAGATTCAGGGCTCCACTCGCCCTGTAGGCGCTAGAGGAAGATCCTTCCTTGCCTTTTCCAACTTCTGGTAACTCCAGGTAGCCTAGGTTCGTGGAATTGTAACTTCACTCTCTCCCTGTCTTTACATGGCCCGTTGCATCCCTCTCTTTCTCTGTCTCTTCTCTTATACTCACACCAGCTATTTGGGGTTTTCCAGCTACTCCGTCATAACCACGTTAGTTTAATTAATTCCATCTGCAAAGGAGCTCTTTCCAAATGAGGTCACATTCACAGGTACTTGAGGTTAGAACTTGAACATATCTCCTTAGGGAACACAAATCAACCACCAACCCTCATAATGTCCTTTTATTTTAGCCTGTATTTTAAGACTATATACACATACCAGGTGATCTGTCTGATCCTGATATATCATTAAACTCTGTGTTCTACACCAAGATATCACTCTTAATAAATTTTTTACAGAGAGACTGCCAAGAAAGAGAGCTAATGCTTTAGGCTTGTGTAGATAATAGCCTGTGGAGTGTTCGGTTTTCCTGAAATAAATAGTTAGATGTGGACTATTTAACTTCATAAAAACAAAATCATTGAAAACACTGCATGGAAGAGCAGCAACACTTCCTAATGTTAGAGGGTATTTACTGGTTCCAGTGTAGGTGTGAATCGGGTGAATCTAGATTAATTTAGTCAGCAGATACTTACTGAGTACTTGTAGGTACATTGATTCAGGCCTGACTCATTCTGACCCTTTGCATAGCAGGAGGCGGCATTTTCCCAGTCCTATTCCATCCTCACAGTTTGTCATATTGGATCCTATTGTTACAGCCTCTGTGCCAATCATCAGTGAGATCATTCATGGTCTTTCTCTCTCTCTTTTTTTTTTTTTGGTGACTTTTCCAAGGACTGGTCACTCCTCATAACATGTCCAAAGTACCTGAAATATGGTTTTGCCATCCTTCCTTCTAAGGAACATGCTGGCTGTACTTCTTCCACTATAGATTTTTTTTTGTTCTTGGGGCAGTTCATGGTACTTTCAATATTCTTGGCCAGCACCACAATCCAAATGCATCATTTCTTCGTTGGTATTCCTTATTCCTCGCTCAACTCTCACATGCAAATGAGGTGATTGAAAATACCCTGGTTTGGTTCAGGTGTGCCCTGATCCTCAAAGTCACGTCCTCGTTCTTCAGCACTTTAAGGAGGCCTTGTACAGCACATTTGCCTGGTGGAGTTACGTCGTGTGATATCTTGACTTCTGTTTCCATGACCATTGACTGTGGATCTAAGCAAAATGAAATCATGTGAGAGTTCATCTTTTTGAGGTTTTTCCTCTGGTGACCCTGTACTGTACCAAGCACGATGTTCTTTGTCAGGGACAAGTCCCTCCTGACAACATGCCTTGCTCCTAAGGAACAGTCTGAATTCAGGATGCCAGCTCTAGGGGAAGGTTTTCTGTCGGTGTAGGCTCTGGATGAAGGTTCAACAATCATGGGCCTGATGTCGCTGACATCTCAGGGTGTCTTAGCATTAATCATCCCCCGAGTCTAGGTGGTGTACAGTACAGGGACCCTGAGTCTAAAGGATATGCTCCACTCCCAGGCTTCTTTCTTGGTGGCAGTTGGGCCCCTCCTTCTCTTTAGAGAAGGCCATAACCCAGGTATCAGGGTTATGACCTGAGTAGAGGTGTTGTAAGGAACTTTGATTGTGTAGGGCATGTAACATCTGTTAGGTCTGCAGTTCAAAACCACCAGGTGCTCTTGGGGAGAAAGATGAGGCTTTCTACTCCTGCAAACAGTTAAAATCTCTGAAACTCACAGGGGCAGTTCTACCCTGCCCAACAGGGTTGCTGGGAGTAGGAATTGACTTTCTCTCTCTTTCAGAGATGTTGTATCCCACCCTAATCCTGCCTCATTAATGAAATAAACCTAACCTAATTCTCATGAGCAGAATCTAGCCCATAACACATAAGAGGTCAATGTACTCTGCAAGACACACTGCAAATGCAGGGCAATTGCATCAGCTCATGTCACAGGGATGCTTACATCATTACGTAATTGCCAAACCACTGAGAATTCTGGCCTAGCCGTATTTGGGGGGCACACAATTCAATGCATGACATTCTAACCTTTGGAGCCCTCAAGTTCATGTCATTGTTACATGCAAACATATTTACCACATTATATCATTACAAAAGTCTTAAATATACTCCAAGGTCAAATTCCATCCTGGGGCAAAGTGCTTTATTTATTTGTTTTAATAAATAATTTTATTGGGGGCTTTTACAGCTCTTATAACAGTACCAAGTGCAATGTTTTCACTTGCTGTTCTGGTCTCCTTGATATCAGCATTCAGATGAAAGCCTTTACTTTGTGAACACGTGTTCCTTTTCTCTGTTTCCAGAACCCTTTTTCCACACCATTTCTTATCAGTGGCTATGCTACACTCACTATCAGCACCACCAGTTGCCATGTGTTACAGAGTAAAAATGCTCCTTAGGGTTTTCTTGCTTGTTATCTTCCACTTTAAAGAGTATTTGTCAGGTCTTTTAAAGAGCAATTGTCAGGTCTTTCTACCGTGGTGCTGCCTGGGTGGTTTAGAACCATTCATCTTTAGGGTAGTGGAGAAGTGAAAACTCTTTGAGCCCCCATAAGAATCCCATTGCCGTCTAGCTGATTCCAACTCAGAGTGACCCCTCATGACAGTGGAAACTGCCTTATAAGAGTTTCTAAGATTGTCTTTGTGTACAGAAGCAGACTGCCAGGTCTTTCTCCCACCATCCTTTCCACCCAGTGGAGCTGTACTTCTAGTTAAAAGGATATGCACACACCACATGGTTCTCTAGTGGGACCTTGTTACTTTTGCTCACTGTACTGCTAATGTAGTTTTCAGAGGTCTTCCTCCTTTTCCACTGCTTTGCACTGTAACCTTTGTGATGTAGGGTGGATTGGCGAGTCCCCCCACCGTACAGATGAGAAAATGGACTCTGAAGGGTTAAGTGACCTGCCAATGCGTAAACATCTCATTTAAAGGGCAAAAGAAAATGTTTGCGTAGAACCTAGTATGAGTGAAATGATTTCCTTAATGTTTGGGATCTAGACTTAAGAAGCTCTCCTTAGAGGTTCCAGTATCAGAGGAAGAGAAGAAACTGTTATTACTACTTGAAAAAATAAATAAACAAACAAAAATAACTGCTTTTGGGATTTGTTTGGTTGATGATTCAGGTAATTGTTCAGGAAAAAAAAGCTAACTTCTATTTTATGACATGATACATTTAATTATGCCTCATAGAGTCTTAGTGTTTTGGTGACAGCCTTCTATAACTAAGGAGCTATGATGGCAGGCACAGTGGTTAAGTGCTCAGCTGTTAACGGATGGAATCCATGGCCGTTCTGTGGGACAAAGTGGTAGCTGTTGGCGTCCTTAAAGACCGCAGCTTGGGAAGGCCTAGTAGGGAAAGTCTGCGTTGTACACAGTCACCATGACTTGGACTCAGCGCAACAGCACAAAACACATCGCTTATAAATGGCGGGTTTTTTGTTTTGTACTTTGCTTTTGCTTATCTGGATTTTCCATAACTTCACCAATTTTATTTCTAAATTAATGAGCTTTATCAACTTCTTCATCTCCCCCTCCTTGCTAACAGAGCTGTGACCCACCTCTCTCCTTGCACTTAGCTTTTGCGAGAACTGAAGCACCCGAATGTGATCGCCTTGCAGAAGGTGTTCCTTTCTCACAGCGACAGGAAGGTGTGGCTGCTGTTTGACTATGCAGAGCACGATTTGTGGGTAAGTCTGCCACTGTCTTTAGCATTGTTTTTAAGAGGTATGGAGCATTATTTTATAATAGCTCATGGCCCTAGTGGCAAAGTGGGTTACACATTGAACTGCTAACCATGGGGTCAGTGATCTGAACCCACCAGCCAGTCCAAGGAAGAAAGATGTGGCTGTCTGCTCCTCTTAAGATTTACATCCTCAGAAATCCACAAGCATCTCCACTCTGTCCTACAGGGTCCCTGTGAGTCAAAATTGGCTCAGTGGCACTGAGTTTATTATCTGTTTTGTGAAAGCGATATGGAGTCATAAGTGTAAGTGACCCATACTGCTGATTCACAGAAAGAAAACCTTACCCTACTGAGACTAAATCTATAAAGTGAAGTTTAAAAATGTGAGTAATAACTATACATATACCACTTTATTCAAAACACCTTGTTTTTCTGGGTCTCGTAATTTTTCCACCTCTGACAGAGTGAATACAGTCTTTCTGTCACTCTGTACTAGTGGGAAATATTTGAGTTTTTCTTCTCTGACAGGTTTCTGTCTTACACAGTTTTGATTTTCCCAAGTTTTACCGTATTTTCACTACCTAGACATTTTACTTCAGAAAGTTTTAATGAGTGGGAGATTGTACTTTTATGTAAGTAATTGGTGACAGTTTATAACGTGTAGTGAAAATGACTTTCTTTTGTGGTACCTACAATAATTCTAATTGCACCAGTTATATTCTTGTTAATAGTTTAGGGTTAAGGCATTGTAGCATTTTTTCCATTTAAAACTGATTCCACAAAATAAGAGTGTGTATATGTGTTTGGTTTTGCAAGTTTTAAGGATATTTTATCAATATATGAAAGATGGGGCTTTCTACTCCCATAAAACATTACAGTCTCAAAACCCACAGGGGCAATTCTATAGAACCCTGTCCTAAAGGGTTGCCCATTGTGTTAGACAAGGTTCTCTAGAGAAATAAAACCAGGACACTAATGATTTTATATCTATAAATATATAAAACATAATATAATATATAAAATCCATGTAACAGTTAATATACTGGAAGTCCTTCAACTCATGAAGGCTGCTGGGTCCAAGGAACAGGAAGCAGACATCTGAGTCTTCCGTAAAGCAATGCAGGCAGTCCACCCACAGGCAGCAAATAGTAGGGCAGGTCACCAATAGTCAGCCATATGACAGGATCCTATGGTCCACAGCTCAAGCGATGTATACACCAACAGTGTGGTGAAGCAGGTTTCAAAGAAACCTCAAATTCTAGCGACATGGTCCACGGTTATCCTGGGTGGTCCACGGTTGTCCTGGGTGTCCTACATGACATGGTCCTGGGTGTCCCACAGGTAGTGTAGCTCACAAGTTGAGACAGAGAACTAGGTAAGTCAGCCTTATCAAGGGTCCGGTCATCAGAGAGCAAGAGAGAGTCAGGACTTGCCGAGCCATTTATCTCTTTGCTCTCCAGTCAAACTGCGACCTTATTAATTCCACATGTTCTAATTGGCCAGGTTGGCACAGTAAACCTACCTATCACACTCAGTTGGCATCCCCTTGATAATAGTGACATATCAAAGAACAAACAATTCTGTCTTAACTTTTGAAGTTAGTAATCAGAGCATTTAAATGTTTTGTCAGAGGAATTGCTAAAAGTCAGAAAACAAACTAAAACCATACTTGGAAATATGTTCAAATTATGGATAGCAAAATTTTGATTCAATACTGCATATTTTGTCATCTATGTAAATTTTAAATCTGTTTGGACTTACTTTAATACACTCATAGATCTGGAAGGAACTTTCAGAGTTTATGTTATGACTGCAAATATTGTTAAGAACCTCCAGTATGTTTTTGTCACTTCTTAGATATCCAGGAATAATTGCATTATCCCCATCCGTGAATAATTACATTATCCCCATTTCTCTTGGTCTATAGTTCTACCAACCAAGAGCGTGGGTGGCATAGTGGATTACATGTTTGGCCACTAACCTCAAGGTTAGCAGTTCAAACCCACCAGCTGCTTCAAGAGAGAAAGATAAAGCTTTTTGCTCTGGTAAAGATTTGTAGCCTCAAAAACCCACAGGGGCAGTTTTGCTCTGTCCTCTCAGCAGTGAGTTTGAATGAGTCTTATCAAGGTGTATTTGATAGTGATGAATTGCCTTAAAGAAGATGTAGCTCGTCGGTCTAGTCAGATTCTGATGCTGTCCAGTTCGATAGCCACACTCTACACATGGCAAGCCACTCGGCACACAGTTAAGCACTTGGTTGCTAACCAAAAGGTTGCCAGATCAAACCCATCCAACACCTGCACAGAGGAGAGAGCTAGTATTCTGCTTTCATAAGGATGAACCCAACTGCTGCCTTGGAGTCAACTCTGACTTTTAGCGACCCTTAGCCATTGACATAAAGTTTGTTGCAACTCAGTGATCCTATAGATCTGCCCCATAGAGGTCCCAAGGCTGTAGTCTTTATGGAAGCAGACTCCTTCTGTATCTTTGTCCTGGGGAGCAGCTGGTGGGCTCAAACTGCCAGCCTTTTGATTAGCAGTCCAATACTTAACCTCTGTGACACCAGGGTTCCTAATGGGTCAATTTGTCTGTTACATGGGGTTGCTATGAGTTGAACATCAATTTGATTGATGGTGCTTAACAGTGGCCACATAATGGCCATTGCAAAGTGGTTGGTCCAAATTGAGATGTGCTGTAAATGTAAAGTACACTTGTTGAAATAATATTTTAGATATGTTAGCTTAAATGTTAAAATTAATTTTGCATGTTTATTTTCCTTCTTTTTAATGTGGTTATTAAAAATTATAGCTACATATGTGGCTTCTACTATGTTTCTATTAGATAAAGTGCTAACCTTCCCAAACCCTAGTGCCATTTAGCTGTTTCTGACTCATCGCATCCCTGGGTTTCCAAGGTTGTAAATCTTTATGGGAGCAGACAGCCTCAGCTTCCTCCCACAGAGGGGCTTGCGGATTTGATTCACCCACCTTGCAGTTAGCAGCCTAACACCTAGCCTGCAGGGCTACTTAGATAGAGCATCATTATTGTATCAGCCTGGAGCCCCTATTACTCCTCAAAATCACGTGAATGCGGCTGGACATGTTATAAAAAAAGCAAACTGCATGAATAGCTTAATAATTTTTCAGTACCATTTGGCCATTTTAAGGCTAATGAAGCACTGTTGAAGGGGATCCCTGATGGTACAGTGGTTATAGCACTCGGCTGCTTAAACTGACAGTTTGAATCCACCAGCTGTCCTCTGCAGGAAAGATGTGATAGTGTGCCTTTGTAGACCCTGATGCCTTCTAGTCCCTGTGGGGGCAGTTCTACTTTGTCCCTCAAGGTTTCTATGCGTTGAAGCAAGTCTGCTGCATCAGGTTTGGGCTTTGGTCCCGAGCACTGCTAATGATTTCACCTGTATTGTTTGAGGCCCCCAGCACACTTGAAATGGGGTCGGGGGATGGGATATGGCGGAGAAGCAGGAACATTTCTTCCCATTTATTACAATCATTTTGTAATCCACAGTGTAACAGGTGAACATAAATATTTGGGTATGGCGACCCAGTGCTCAGTTGTGTTTATTTCAATGGCATTTCTCTTCCTCTTCCCTTTTGGTGAGTTCCTATTTATAGCTAACCATTAGGAATTTATCCTAATTGTATTTGGTACCAAAAGAAGGTAGAACTTTCCCAATGGTTACACGTAGCTGGTGATGTTCTCCAAATGCAATAAGTGCTTTCTAACCTTTAAAGAACACCAAAGAAGATTTGTTTTGTTTTGTTTCTCTTCTTTCCTTCTGTCAGTGAAAACTCAAAAGCCCACTTCCATTGAGGCCACTCCACCTTATAGCAACTCTCTGTAGGGTTTCCGAGGCTGGAAATCTTTATAAGATTAAGCAGTCTCATCTTCCTCTCTTGGAGTGACTAGTGGTTTAAACCACTGACCTTACGGCTAGCAACCCAGTGTTTATCCCACACGGCCACTAGGGCACTTTATTCTGTCAGGAGGGGGATACTTTTTACCAAGTTAGACACCTGAAGACATTTTTGTGAAGATATTACTGCAGAGTCCAGTACCGATTGGAACTAGCAGTGGAGAGGGGCCGCACATACTGATTTTGAATGTGTTTTAGAACTAGTAGAACTATGCTTCCATCAAGAAATGATTACAGAGGACCCCTGAATCTATTACTCAGACTTTGGACCAAGACTGTCCCAAGAAAGCCACTGTTGAACTAAATAGCAGTTGGGCTCAGTTGGTAAAGAATGTTTGCCTTGAGTGTTGTGTTCTTCATAAAGAATTTTCATATGAGATCAGACTGACGGGCGGGAACTTTCAGGCAGTCTGAATTAGCGGTGACATAACAGCATGTGTAGAGACAGCGAGGAGGGTATATGTCTAGCCAATGCCATTGAACTATACCTGTAGAAGTTGTAAACAAAAGGGTATTTGGTTGTGTGTATAATCACCCCAAAATAAATTTTACAAAAGCAAGATATCGCAATAAAAATTTGAAAATGTTATGTCAAATAGCAGGAAGCAATTATTTGTGAAATATATGCTTGTCTTAAACTCTTACATCTGAACGTGTACATTTGAACTGGATGTTTCCATATGAACAATTAATGAAATGGTAGGACTAGATGAAGTGTGAGCAGGTAGTCTGATTTCTATTTTTTAATTCTTTAAAAACTCATTTTATTGGGGGCTCATACAGCTCATCACAATCCATACATACATTCATTGTGTGTCAAGCACATTTGTACATTTGTTGCCCTTATCATTATCAGAACATTTGCTTTCTACTTGAGCCCTTGGCTTCAGCTCCTAATTTTTTAATTATTTCTATTTTTAAGCAGGCTTTTCATTGAAGCATCTTGAAACATTTTACCTTTTGTTTCTATTTGAATTAACATTTTAAGCAAATCTAGTAACTTTGCTCTTCATTAGCACAGCCACATTCACTCCCAAAATACAGTTTTGGTTGACCTTACTATTCAAGTTATTTTCTTTTTGTCACAATTGGCCTTTAATAAGTAATTTTAAAATAGAATTTATTGTGCTGTGTTTTAGCAAAGACTGTAAATTATAGTATGTTTTATTTTTTAAATTCCTAGCATATTATTAAGTTTCACCGCGCGTCCAAAGCAAATAAGAAGCCCATGCAATTGCCAAGATCCATGGTTAAATCATTGCTGTATCAGATTCTGGATGGTATCCATTACCTCCATGCAAACTGGGTACTTCACAGAGACCTGGTGAGTATGCTGCTTTTGAACTGATTAAATAT